TCTCTCTCTCTCTCTCTCTCTCTCTCTCTCTCACACACACACACACACACACACACACACACACACACACACACACAAACATTTACGAAGGTTCCTTTTTTCATGGTTTTACGAAAGAGTCAGTTTCTCACACACATAACCTCCCTCCCTCCCTAAATTTTTAGCAATCATTTGTATCAGTTCAGTATGTACCTGTTTCCTCTCATTACATTTAAACAAACTGATGAATCCACCTGTCCCTCTCTCACACCTTTCTTCCTGCCTTAATTGGAGCCTTCCGTCCTGTTTGCATCAGTTCCTTTTTTCACAGTTTTGAGTCAGTCTCTCTCATACACACACATATACACACACCCTCCCTCCCTAAATTTTTAGCAATCATTTGTATCAGTTCAGTATGTACCTGTTTCCTCTCATTACATTTAAACAAACTGATGAATCCACCTGTCCCTCTCTCACACCTTTCTTCCTGCCTTAATTGGAGCTTTCCCTCCTGCTTGCAGTCACCTCCGGTGGAAGTAGTAATTCACAAGGCGGATTGACTGCCCCGGGGCTGTTCTACAGCAGTAAACAATAAAGCAGCCTTATCTCTGATCTCTAAAAGAACTGATTTACAAGTGCCGCAACCAAGGAAGTTATCAGGGATAGGTGGCTTACAATCATGCAGTTTGAGGTTTGGCTGCGGATGTGTGTGGGGGAGGGGTAGCGCTCTGCTCATGTGCTCAGGGAGAGGTCTCCGCGTGCCAGCTATGGCACATGTGCCATAGGTTCTCCATCACTGATCTAGCCTCTCTAATCTCAACAGTTACACACTCGTCTAAAGAGGCAGTCTGATCTCTGTCTCTGCATTGCTTTTTAAAATCAAGCTTCATATCCAGCTCCACCCATGTCCAGTGTTTGGCCCCCTTATGTTTCAGTGGCCCACAAAAGGAGTGTGTAACACTGGGAAGAGCTTGTGGAATTTTTTTAAAGCAATAATTTCCCCCATAATTCAAGTACCAGATTTAGAAACATATGAATAAATCCAGTATAAGGACTTGTGTGACAATCAAAGAAATGATAAGTCTGCTACAGGCACTTTTCAGCTCATCACCCCTAAACAGGGATGTGACCAGAGGGGAGAGAGTGGGCAACCTAAAAGACTGGGGAATGACAGTTAAATTGCCAGGTAGAGCTCTGTTGTAAAAGGAAATAGATGGGATTAGGCAGGTAGGCCTGAGCTTGCCATTCCTCACGGCGAGGAAAAAACTAGTAAGTTCTGAGATGTTTGTGTTGTGAACTCAAAAACTATTTGCCCACTCTAGGAAAGACGAAGCTTTAGCATGTGGATACATACATCAGTAGAAGATCTTGGGTTGTTAATCCTGAAACCTTTGAAAGTTGTTTCTTTGAATTCTCACAACTTCTGTGCTTAAAGTTATGTGCCCTCAAATGGTCAAACAGCCAAGCTTTTAACCCTCTCTGAATGAATTTAAATAAAACAAGCCATTTGGGACATACACTATTCAGAGAATTGTAAGCTGTAAATGCTGTTGAAGACAGTATCATCAGAATGAACATCCTAATACATCCCTAATCTTGGTCTTATTGCCATACTCACCGTCCTCTCATTATATCCTCTAATTTTTGTAGTGTACTAAAAGCAGGACATATTGTCACTCTTAAAATCTGAGTATTCGGTGCAGCTGCACTGTCCTGAGATAGGACTCGAGACACTGAGTGGAAACAGAGAAGACATTTTGCTGCTTGCGAAGGAGGCAAAATGGCACCCTTTTCATTCCGTATATACGAATTGGATGGATTGAAACACAGGAGGCTTAGCTCCAATTTGCTCCAGTGTGTGATTTGGGAGCAGAAGGGTACTCCCAAAATATTGGGAGCCCCCCATTTGGTCCATGAGCAATCTCTAAATTGGCAGTTGGCTCTTACTTGAACATCAACAATGAAGCAGCTACTTCTGCTATCACTGTGTGAGGGATAGCTTGGGATGATGTACAGCAGGGACTGTTCTGTCTCCTCTAACATCTTGCCACTGCCCCTCAGTGGCTGTTGTCTGAAGCAGCTGCCTCCTTTTGTCTCATGCAGTGGTTCACAACCTGGGCTCCCCAGATGTCCTTGGACTACATCTCTGACAAATCCTGGCCTGTGCAGCTAGTGGTGAAGGCTTTTGGGACTTTTAGTCCAAGAACATCTGGGGATCTGGTCTATTGGCACATTTTGCCAGTTACCACACTGTCAGCTTGTCCATAATGGTCTGCGATGAATGTTAGAAGAGGGGGGGGGGAAAGGATCTTCTATCTAGTCATGCTTTAGTCTTCCTTCTTTTTTCCTTGATTAGAGGGAATCCAGTGTATAACATTCAGGCGATGAGTCAAGCCATATACTTAATAACAAATGGAAATTGCTACCTTCCATTCCTGGTGTATTCAGATGAAATAATTCCACACCTCAGAAAACAGCAGTGAGGATGAATGGAACTGAATGCATACAGCATGATTCTTAAGTTCCTACTCATTCAATAGTCGTTTGACTTTAGGCCACTTGAGGATCTAAGTTATATTCTTGCCATTTACTGTGTATTTTGCTGTCACTGCTTTTCTTTCTTTTATTCTTTTATTGCTATTTTGCTGCTCTATGTGGTTTTATATTGAATTGTATTATTTCTCATGAGAATTACCTTACCTAGGCTGTTCTAGTAGAAAGGGAACGTGTATCAGCTTTTATTATATAAGTGGTTAAAATGTCATTTTAAAATATTACTATTTTTACATCATTTTAATTTGATTTTGTAGCTAAATTCAGTTTTACTTTTTTTAAAAATTATTTCATGAAGGCTGAAAGCTGCATTGAACATGGCTTTCTAATAAAGGAAGAGTTTAAATGTAATATAAATGAATGAGTGAGTGAATGAATGAATGAATGATTTCTAATCTTTTCTGTATCAATAGTTTATATAAGCAGATAGGATGTATAGTAAGTATTAAAACGTGAACTGTAGCGAATGTTGCCCAGGTAGACTGATACGTAAGAACAGATAGTAACAACTTTGTGTGTATAACACATATTGTGCATCCAATTATTTTGGTTCACATTCCCAATTTCTAAGGGAATTGTCAACATTCATGTGATGAAAGAAAATGGCAGCAGAAAAGAGGAGAAAAGTGGAAATGGAATTTTGGGATGATAATGTGAATAGAATGGATGTTAATATATTTTTGTGTCTCCTCTTCCTGATAACCCCAACCTTTCTTTCCTTCACCCTTTGTATCCCTTACCCTATCCCAAGTTATTAAAAATAACAATTACAAAATATTGTTTAAAAAGGAAGGAAAATGGAAGCATACAGCAGAGAACCTAACTGTTCTTCTTTCCCCTCCCCCCCCCTCCAGGTAGCTATAGATTTTACAGCTTCAAATGGTGACCCTCGGAACAGCTGTTCGCTCCACTACATCCATCCTTATCAGCCAAATGAATATCTAAAGGCATTGGTCGCTGTTGGGGAGATCTGTCAAGACTATGACAGGTAAAACATGACTGTATTTTATTTCAGAATAATTTGTTGATGATACTGAAGTAGTATGATAGGGGGCTAGATACTGATATCTATGGAACAGTAAGTACTGTGTCTGATATGCTTTTGCTAAGAGAGGGAGTGGTCCCTGCCCCGTTAAAGGAGGCAGTGATTCTCCCACTCCTAAAAAAGCCTAATCTGGACCCAGGTCTAGTGATCAACTATTGACCAGTGGCGAACCTCCCTTTTCTGGGCAAGGTGTTGGAATGTGTGGTGGCTAAGCAGCTCCAGGCTCTCCTGAATGAAACAGATTATCTTGCTCCATTTCAATTGGATTTCAGCTGGGTTATGGGATAGAGACTGCCTTGGTCGCCCTGTTTGATGACCTTTGCCGGGAGAAAGACAGGGGGAATGCATCCCTGTTGATTCTCCTGGACCTCTCAGCGCTTTTCAACACCATCGACTATGCTGTCCTGGACAGATTGGCTGGCATGGGAATGGGAGACATCATTTTACGATGGTTCCACTCCTACCTGGCTGATTGAGTCCAGAAGGGGGTACTGGGGGACAGTAGCTCTGATCCATGGTGGTTGTGTCATGGGGTTCCTCGGGGCTCTATACTGTCCCCCATACTATTCAATATCTACATGAAACTGCTGGGTGAGGCCGTTAGGAGGTTTGGGCTGAGGAGTCATCAGTATGCTGACAACACCCAGCTCTACCTCTCAATCTCTACTAATCCAGGTGTGACAGCCGCCATTTTGAACTCATGCCTGGACTTGGTAATGGACTGGATGATGGTCAATAAACTGAGGCTCAATCCAAACAAGACCGAAGTGCTGTTGGTAGCTACTCCGCCAGATAGGTTAAAGGGCCATTTTCCTGCCTTAGATGGGGTTACACTACCCTAAAGGACAGGGTCCACAGCTTGGGGGTGCTTCTTGACCCGGGTCTGACCTTGGAAGCCCAGGTGGACTCAGTATCCAGGGGTGCCTTCTTACAGCTGTGGAGAATATATCAACTTCACCCTTACCTTGATTAGCGGAGCCTGGCAACAGTCACACATGTACTGGTATCAACCAGACTGGACTACTGCAATGCACTATACATGTGGCAGCTTTTGTAGAGGGTCCGCCGACTGCAACTGGCACAGAACTGGGCTGCATGGCTGGTAAGTGGTGCATCCGCATGGGCTCATATCATGCTGGTTCTGAAAAATTTACACTGGCTGCTAGTTGCTGCTCGGGCCCATTTCAAAGTGATTCCTTTGACATATAAAGCCCTAAACAGCTTAGGACCTGGTTACCTAAAGGACTGCCTTCTTCCACACGAGCCTGCCCATCCTCTAAGATCAGGCCAGGAGGCCCTTCTGAAGGTGCCATCCCTGAAAGAGGTGAGGGGATGGCATGCCGAAATAGGGCCTTCTCAGCTGTTGCCCCCCAACTTTGGAATGCCCTCCCTATAGAGATCCACCTGGCTCCAACACTTTTGGCTTTTTGGTGCCAGGCAAAGACTTTTCTCGCCAGCATTTTAATTAAATAGTATTCTTTAGCTGGCATATGAGCAGCAGTATTTATTAATATAAAGGTTTTAATGACTGTTTTTAATATAGGGTATTATTATAATATTGCCTATTTTTAATGGTTTTAATGGTTTTAAAGTTTTAATATTGTTGTATGCCACTCAGAGACCATTGGTAATGGTGTGGCTAAAAAAATTATATTGTAAATAAATAAATAAAAGCTCAATGAATTCTAACATAAACAGGTTGTATACAGGACTTACAATAACATTGAAATAAGACACTACGGGGGCTCTTGAGACTTTGGTTGCAAATTTCCAGATTTGCTCAACAGAGTTCAGAAATTCAGATTTGAATCCACTCAGCTATTTACCATTTCCTTGAAATCTCTGGTCCTTTCGCACCTCTGACTAGCCGCTCTTCCTTTCCTTGACACATAAATCTTTTAAGCATAAAGTATACAAATCTCTCTCTCTCTCTCTCTCTGGCTGTCATAAATAGCAGGTGCATGTACACATTATTCAGGATTTCTGGGCAAAAACTAGGAATAAATGAAACAGTGTGTGTCCAGAGTTGTTCACTCAGCCCTGACCCAAATCTTCTTTGCTGGAATTCAAATCTCGTTCACATGATATAGACAATTTTTGACATATGGTCAGGGGGACTATTTAACAAAGCTCCATGTAACCTGCTTTGGCTGTAGTAATGATTTCCCTCAATGCACTTCTCCTCTCCCTTCAAAATTGCTGGGGTGGGTGGAGTGGTACCCCTGTGTAGTTCAAACTCCATGTACAACTCTTGAGCCTCCAAAAACATGACTACAAATCATCTCTCTCTCTCTCTCTCTCTCTCTCTCACACACACACACACACACACAGAGAGAGAGAGAGAGAGAGAGAGAGAGAGAGAGAGAGAGAGAGAGCAGTCTTGTCTATCAGAGTTCTCTCCCATAGCACTGACAGTCCTTTCTATACAGTACTGTGTGTGATGAGTCTTAAAGATCCTTATGACCCTCTGATTTAGAAGCTGAATTAGAGAGGTTGTGTTTGGGAGCTAGCAGACCAGTTTGATGCCTTCAGTGTTGAATGCATGGGGTTGAATGCATGCCAAGGACACTGTGTGTACGTATGTACGTACGTACGTACAGTGGTGCCCCACTTGACAACGATAATGCATTCCAGCAAAATTGCTGTACAGCGAAATCGTTGTCAAGTGAAAAAAAACCATTGAAATGCATTGAAAACCAGTCAGTACGTTCCAATGGGGGAAATACCTGATCGTGCAGCGAAGATCCTCCATAGGGCGGCCATTTTCCGCTCCCTGTCCTGTGAAATGAGGTCAGCAAAACAGTGGGGAGCAATTTTGAGAGCCGCCGATCAGCTGTTTTTAAATCGTCGTTAAGCGAAAAATTAGTTCCCGAAGCAGGGAACTGATCCTCATCAAGCGAAAAAAACCCATACAAATATCGTTTTGTGATCGCTATAGCAATTGCAAAAAAGTCATCATAAAGCGATTTCGTCGTCTAACGGGGTAATCGTCAAGCGGGGCACCACTGTATGTGTGTGTGTGTGTGTGTGTGTGTGTGTGTGTGTTTGTTTGTTTGTTTAAAAGAAAACCGTGTATAACCAAAACCATGCTGTTTAGACCTGTGCAATTCAGGGGACAAGTGTATATTCTTTCTGCACACTGACTTCAGAAGACAAAAATAACCCTAATTCCTTTGACCTATCAGTTTGGTCTTTTGAAATGCAAGTATCACAGCCTGTATATGGGTACCTCTTGATTGTGGTGATTTCCCATGTGCTGCTGGAACATGTGGAAAGTTCCATCATATGAGGTGCCATGAGCATACTTAACAGAGACAAGTATCTTTATCGAATTGAACGTCACTGCCTTGTCAGCCTCGTGCTGATTATGCTCCTGGATCATTTTTGAGGAGTCTGCTGTTGTCTTAAATGTATTACACTATGGGGTGCAGTAATTAGCATGCTTCAAAGGATTGCTATTTGCATAGCAATGGAACCTGCTTTGAAAGGCAAGTGAAGGAGCTGAGTGGAACACTGCTAGCATGGCATAAATGGAACTTCAGCAAATTGGAATGAAATCCCCAAGAAACGGCAGTAATGTGTGGGCCAGCAAAGGGCCTGGATAAGAACTGATTGCTGTTGAGTACTTTCGTTCATCCTTTGTCCACAAAATCACATGGCACTATTTCTCATTATAGCTGTAGGAATTACATTTTCAGTCAATAGGATATTTTGCCAGTTCAGTGCTCAAGAAACAAAGCAAAGCAACAAAAATATGCTTCCAAGCAGAGAAAGAGCACAGTGTATCCCAGATCCCTCCATAATAATGAGGTTTCTTGTAATCTCAAGACTGCATTTTCTAAAGAACCACTCCTCTTTATATAGTCTTATATTTTAGTTGCTTCCAAGCCCCCACCCTACCTACCCCTTTTCCCAAATGATGCAAGTGTTTCTAAATAGGGAAAATAACTGTCACTGTCACTGTTGTTAATAATGTTTGCAGTAACATCAGTTGGTTTGGGAATATCTATAAAATGGGCGAGTTAAAAGAATTGCTGAGTGGTACTATGAAGGTAATAAGTTTTCCTACTGAGTTCAGTGGAACTTATGCCCAAATATACGTGCTTAGGTTTGCAGCCTTAATCAATCTTTGTGGTTTTTGCACAAGAATACCCTGTTTCCCCGAAAATAAGACCTAGCCTGAAAATAAGCCCTAGTAGGATTTTTCAGGATGATAATATAAGCCCTACCCCAAAAATAAGCCCTAGTTAAGTGAAACCCCGCCCTCCACCATTGTGCAGCAACCAGAAGATGACATGACTATCTTTGAATAAATGTAGATTGTTGTACATGAAAAAATAAAACATCCCCTGAAAATAAGCCCTAATGCGTTTTTTGGACCAAAAATTAATATAAGACCCTGTCTTATTTTCGGGGAAACACGGTATGTACACTAAAAGAAAATATCAGTAAAAATTATATGTTAACATGCGACTCTAAATATAATAATTTACCAATTTATAATTTGCTAATGCTATCATTTGGTATGTTCTCCCCAATCTCATGTTGCATCCTACGGTTACATGTGTTTTTTAAACTTGTTTTAGAAAGTGGTTGGTTTGCTTGCTTGCCTGCTTGCCTGCTTATTTGTTTGTTTGTTTAGTTAGTTAGTGAGCTAACTAGTTAGCTTGCTGGCTTGGTCACGTCTTTCCTTAGAATCATGCTAAATATGTAAAAATCAATGGCTGTAATGCTGCACATATCTACTTGGGAATAAATTGCTTTTGAAATCAGTGGGTGTCCTTTGAATAGACACACACATAGGATTTACACTGCATATTATAAGGGAGACAATATTCTGTTCTAATTCAAGACTTCCTGTATTCTATGGAGGGAAAAGAGCAGATACAGATCAAATGGTTTTCAATGCATTCCTATGGGAAATGCAGATTTGACCTGAGAAC